AACGATAAGTGGGAGGTCATAATTTGACTAAGATGCGGGCAGTTAGAGTCACCCACCCGAATGTGACCAAATTTAACTGATAGGACTTGTGATGTAGCTCGCAAAAGGATATCGTTTTCCGACTCCGTGGATGAGGAATAACGATAGACCACTCCAACAAGACGATCGTAGTAGAGGGAAGATAAGTTGTAGTTGTTGACTGGCTGGTATCAAGAAAAACCGGGAGATATGAACAACTGTAAAAATGTTCCATGTTTTTTTTGTGTAGGTGGTTGATTGGAGGACTAATGGAAACCGTGGAGAAATTCAAATTTCGTCGAAGAAACTGAAACTACAGCTGCAAAGAAAAGCTTCACATACCATAAGTATCAGAAAAAATGTAAACCACAATACCACAGCTGTACAAAATACCTACGGAAATACTGAGGGATATTTACTTGTATGATATACCGTAAGGAGTGAACAATCAAACTGTCCCTCACTCTGGGGGCCCAATAGCCAACCAGGCGACAAACGTCAAGCGATACACAATTGTTATGAAAACCTAGTTGAAGTTATCGGAAAGCTTGGATACTAAAATAGTGTTTCAAATAAAGATTTTTTTACGATTGATGATAGAATTTACCACTGATAACGCAAACGTCAATCACCAACAACGGGATACAGCATTCTACATCCGACTTCAAAAATGAGTTAGGAAGGACTGACAAATCGATGAACAAAAAAGACTGTCGATCAATGCATTTTTACGATTTAAAACAGTTGGACAGAGCGAGTTAAAATGACCCGAAGTGACGTGATCAAGTATTATGCCATAGCTGCACGGAATAGATAAGTAGAAAAATAAAAAAACCTACCACTCTTTCACTCGGATCTGTTTGAGCTTGTAACAACTAGTACGGTGTATTAGTACATCTCTATCTCGTATGGGGAAATTGCTTGTATGTGTTGCAACTTTCAGTTCCCGGAGCATGTGACAGACAATCGTTCAAAGTACACAGTGGTTTGCTGTCCCTTGATGACCAGCGCTAAACCACGATATGTAGTGCAACTAAATTTGTCTTATTTTTTCTTCCACATTCTATGTGGAACAAGGTGAATACGAGTGAGAGTATGAGGTAGCTATCTTGATAGTAGAATATACTGGTGACAGAACCGATTCTGTGATTCTCTGTCTGAGGGCTGGAGGGAATATGCTGTAAAGCTTAACTGTTTCAGGGAAGAGGATATAAAAATGTAACAAGGAATGGGTCAGGTGGGGGGGGGGATAACCAACTATAGTTGGAACAGTGCAATGTACATACGCGGGACCAAGTGTTAAAACTAATGGGTATGGAATTTGCAGACAGACAGCCTCGTGTTAAAAATGATCAACAGGAGAATAGGAGGCAAGTGATATCTAACTACAAACGTGATTAGCCGTTTCCCGTATCTGGTTCTCCGCGCGATCGACAATACAGTCAACCAGGTTTTCACATACTTAAGAAAAGACACCTGCACAAATCAACTGTTCCCAGCTGAATAAGCTGAGATATGTTATATTCAATAAATTGATCGAATATTTCACCTAACGACTAACCGTGAAGATAACGTCCGGGATCGAGAACGGTGAAGTACAATGTGCCGGGTGGAGTGGACACCGATGCGGACGCCATAGAAACTGAACGTTGGACCGGGTGGATAACAATCCGAGCATCATCTTCGCAAGTGACCAGTGCGTCAAGGAAGGCTTGCAATTTGAAGAGACTGGTGGACGTGACCACAGACTTGCCTGGCGGATAGCCGGAAGTTTGGACCTAATTACACGGAGCACGAAAAAAACTACAATTGATCGACCGATTGGAAGAAAAAAGGTAGGAAACTACCGAATCGATCACATTATGATAAGCAGTATACAGATGTATCAGTATCTACGAGACCCTAAAACACCCAGTCTAGGAGATTCAAATCGAAATCGGTTTTACCAATGCAGACATAATCAGTAACTGCAAATTACAGATGTTAGACTGTTGAGCAGCTTGAACCCAGCACAAGCAGCAAAATGATGTTTCGATTTGGGCTGTTTAGACTGAGCTGGAGTCTCGGAGACACTGATGAACCTGCATCCAGATGTCGGGACAACGATGACTCATTTCAATTCCGGCGCAAGTAATGCGCGGCGTGCATGTGCCACATACAAACGAAAAGCACCCGGGAGCGAGTGGAAAAAAACATAAGAATTGTACGCAATGAACGAATCGTTACGAGGCGAGTGTGAAGTGACACAAGCAAGTTGAATACACCAGGGAGAGAAAACACCGAGAGCAATCACTTACAGACCTGGTGAGAATAACAACTGGTTTGAGGAAAACAAAAATCCTCCCGAAAATCGGTCCGTTTCAATGAGACAACGAAATTAACCAATAAGAAATGATCGCAGATTCCAGAGATTCAGAGGGATTGGTTGGAATGCACGAGCAGTCGATACCTTACTCAATCTTAATGACCGCTTCTGCCCTGAAACTTTCAAATATCGGTTATCGCGCACAAGTTCATGAACTGTCAAAGTTAAGTTATGCACATATAATAAGCACGTTTTCCATAAAAGTGGAACACAGTTGAATGCCGTTGAATACAACTTTCAAGCTGATCTTGGTCTTTCATTCAGAGAGGTCAACGAATAAAGAGATGGAATTGGACGTTTGAAAACTGATTTAGCGACATGAAAAAACCGGGACATGCAGCTGAGTGAGCTTAATGAGCTCCTCCTTTGGTTGAGAATTACACAATAACGACGCTTGAAAGAAGTGGACTGCTACGAACAAAGCATTGCATCAGATCTAAGAAATTATAGGTTACCAAAATTACCTCTTGTGTTGGATTATAACTATTTTGTTCTTTTGAACCACTGTGACCAGCGAGAGTGAAGTTCTCCGTCGTTTTCTCCCCGTATTGCTCGCCTAATTTGCTCCACTTCATGGGAGATACATTGGCTACCAAGCGCAGATTTGATACTCGAAAAGTGACGCTTGTGCATTGTGAGGTGGGACTGATTGAAGGGATAAAAAACTACAGCTACACACAAACCAGACTGACGAAATCTGAGCAGCGCTGTGTTTTTAGTAAGATAACTGATGACGACATGAGTCGAACGACTGGGCACCAATCGAACGCGTAGATGTACAAATTCCACCTGAATGGACGACAGGACATGGAGATCGTCAGTAGTACCACATAAATAGCTGAAACAATAAACGAGGCAGACGGTTTATATGAGATATACCAGGTGATTCGCTAAGACGGGAACATACTGCGGGATAGAATTTTCAGTCACGTTTCAGTTGCACTTGTATCCGACGAAACTATGTCAAATGGCAATACGTGATCACAACTCACAACCCCGTCCACACGCCCTCCGGAATCGTTTGAATGTGTTTGTGGTGAAAGTAGACGGCTGCTTTGTGTTATTCTTTCGTTGCCCGTGAGAAAAACAGGCGAAAATTGTCAGTCGTAGTTCATCCACGATGGAGGCAGAAAGCGGCAACAAGCGTTTTTGTCTGAGTCGAGCTGGAGGGTACGATACAGATACAAGCAGATTCACATTATTTCTAAACTCCCCCGTAGTCACCGGCTTCTTCTTTAAACCAATTGTTCCACTCTTGGTCAATCCAGTTTGAAGAAAGCGCTCTGAGAATTTCTTTACAGTTGAACCGATCTGCTTTTTGCTTTGTCCAGAGTAAGACGTTTGAATTCTTTGCATGTTTCCCGAAAACTCAGCACTGATGCTTTGAACCGAGCCAAATGCGCTTTGCCGTAGTCCGTTAAGTTCATCTTACAATGAGTGACGATTTTGGCCTGTTTTTCACGAGCAGCGAAAGGTCTATGCAGAGCGGCCGGTTATCCTCATCATAAACACACTCAAACGATTCAGGAGGGTGTGTGGACAGGCTAGTGAGTTGCCATTACCATTTAACACAGTTTCGTCGGATAAAAATGCGACTGAAACGCAGCTGAAAATTTTACTCAGCAGTGTGTGCATCACCTGGTACATATGCTTTGTTTTATTTCGATATTGCGTATTATTTCTACCACCTATCGGGGCCTTAGGTGGTTCACCACTCCAAATCCCGGGGCTTAGGTTGCTGGTTTCCACCACTGAACAGCAGGTCCTCGTGACTATGGGGTTCGCTCCGTCTGCTGTTCATCATACTAAGGTGTGTAATAAAAAAAACAAGTAAAGTTTAAAGCGTAAGAGAATGGGTAAATACTACCCTACCGACGACAAACCCTAAAGAGAAAAATCAAACAACTCACAGATGAAACGATAAAAACGGTTTCAACAACACTGGTTTGGTTTTGTGTCTATGATGGCGGTGGCGTGAGACAAAATAAATGTTTCCATCATGTTTCAATTTAATCCAAAATCATCCATATAAATGTTACATTTCGCGTAAACTGAACGTAAGCCGACCGAGACACAAGAACACACATTCGTTTGAAGACACAGATGGAGCACAGACATTCAATTAAATGCACTCCATTCTCCATCGAACTGTTTGGAACATACTTTATCCAATGTACGCCTCATATGAAACCTAATTTGAAAACGGTACCTCGTTCGGTAAATCAAATACTATAGCAATCTTTCCGATAGCTCGCAAGATCGGACACAGAGAAATAACTCCAATGAAAGCCCCATTTGCAAACAGAACCGATTTGTGGAAATATTTATGATGACAGATAAGGGCTGTTTCGTCCTGTTTGGGCCTCGTCCACCGCGTGTCTTCGTGTTCCTGTCAGGACTCGAACAGCGTGTACCTCAAACTGATGGGAAATTAACGATCGAGAAATGAGTGAAACCCATACCGAAGATCATTAACAGGGCCTATCGCACGTGAACAATCCAATCATAGTACTTTGAAATGAGCCAGTTTATCCTTGAGAAGGGACACAAATGTACCATAGGCGACAGCAACTTCACTGAGGGAGAGAAAAGTGGGAGAGCTTGATCACTGGACTGCATTATGCACCCAAATGAACGTTGACGTTCACCCACTGAGCGTCGTCGCCTGTGTCGTCAACCGTCCTCACCTCACGCCGGGGAACCCAGATTAATTCGCGTTACTTTAAAGGATGAGAAAGACGTCGAGAAAGTTCTTCTTTCTAGTTTCCTCCTTGGCAAAGTTTCCAGTTGCATAAGAATACTTCCTGATTGACGGTGGACCGAACGTATGCGTCATCGCACGAACTCAGTAGATGCACGCGAGTCAGAAAATAAACGAGTTGTAATGATTCAAAGAGTCCCGAGATTTAACGATCCGGAATCTACAGGTCCAGAATCTAAACGAATCTACATGTCAACAAAACGAATGTAAGGAAGGAAGAGCTGATTGGATGCCACAATATTTTCACCACCTCAATCAGCCGACTTCCGTGTTCACCAAACTACCATGGAAATGGCCCGAGGATTATGAAAGTAAACCTCAGTACTCCGGAAATGATCACATCGGTCTTGCAGGCATGGTACCAAAACCGAAGAAGAGGATCACCAGAATTACGCTTCAGACCACTTGAATGGTGAGGTAAAATGACGTCCGCAGTTAGAAAAAGGGGCCAACGAGCTGCCTCTTCCCAACCAAACTCCACTTTTTTTCGGGAGCCCACAGCAGCAGAACCGATTCCCCAAAAAACTACTGCTAGCCGACCGCAGAGTGGTCGGCATAAACAACGATTCAAAACCTAACGGATTCCTAAACAGACGCTCCCTAGCTTCTTTTTACACAAACGTACAAGGCTTCCTTAGCAAACTCCCTGAGGTTCAAATGCGCTTGAAAACTGATCGGTGGGATCTTGCTGCAATCACCGAAACTTGGTTAACTGCCGATATCCTCGACTCTGAATTGCACCAACCCGGAATGGCGCTACCGAGGCGTGATCGTTCTACACGAGGTGGCGGTGTGCTGTTATATTTCAGCGGGAACCTTCAATGTGAACCGTTCGGCCTCTTCGATGCAGCCCCCGACACACTTTGAGGCACAATGAGGCTGTCTATAGATAGCAATTGTTTGATCGGTGTATTTTACCGCCCTCCCGTATCCTCAGACTTGGCTAACGAGGCACTCTTGCAGACTATGAGAAATGCTCTCTCAGTAAAGTTCATTCATGTTCTTATATTGGGAGACTTCAATTGTCCCAATTTTATAAAAAGCCAAAACTATCACCACTCTTTTGAGCGAAATTAATCACAGTTTATAGACTCACATCCGATGTATAATCAAGTGAAGAATCCCACCGGATTTGGAACAGACCACCAACCATCAACATTGGATTTGCTATTGACAAGCGAGGAGCTTTTGGTCGAATGGGTCAAAATAACGTCTCCATTAGGACGAAGCGAACACGCAGTTCTGCTTTTCGATTACATTCATCTCGCCTCAATAGAAATATGCCTGAAAACCAACAGACGCACCGTTATTTACTACAATGAATTGTTGAACCTTACTACTGTCAAACAATGGACACAAACAGAAGAGCAGCTAGATCCAATGGAGTCCTGGAGTCATAACGGTCACCACAAAAACCAAGTCTGTCGGTACGTCGCCTGCACGATTATTACCTATCCGTAGTAGAACAAAGTAATGAATTTCACAGAGGAATTTCTCGTAGTGAGAGTTCAGAAGATGTGCGACCGCCAACACTTGGGATAAATTTATCATGTTGAAAAACCTTTGTGTAAAATTAATGCGAGAGGATAAAGGGAGGTTTCAAGAAACTCTGGCGCATGAGTTTATTTCCAGTCCAAAGTTACTGTATAAACGTATTAATGCTACCAGAGAAGTGAAATATGGAACACCGTCACTAAGCCATGCAGGACGCGTTCCCCTTACTATTGCTGAAGCAGCCAAATTCCTAAAAGTCCAGTTCTATGAAGTGTTCACTGCAGGTAACAAAGGCCGATTACAGCTTTCACACCTTCCATCAAGTGTCCCATACCCCAACTGACCACCGTCACGTTTAAATCTGAAACGGTTAAAAAAGCTATTGGCGCTGGGCCGGAATTCATCTCCAGGGAAAGACAGCATCCGGCCACGAACCCTGATGTCTTTGGCAAATTAAATATCTGAAGCAATTGCCCATTTATACCAAAGAATTTTTGCAAAAGGAAGATCCCTCAACCCTGAAAACACGGCATCATTTCGCCGATTTACAAAGGTCGCTGCAGAAGTGATCCTGCGGACTACCGTCCAGTTACACTTCTTCCTGCTCTGTCAGAAGTAATGGAATCGATTNTTGCTGATTCTCTGATGGATCATTTCGAGAAGCATAACACACTTTCGTCGGCCCAACACGGGTTTAGAAAGAAACGCTCGTGCACCACAAACCTTCTACTTGCTCGAGATGAATGGACGAGATCAATAGACGTAGTCTACTTAGACTTTTTCAAAGCTTTTGACAGGGTTAACCACCATATATTGCTGCGAAAGCTCCATAATTACGATGTCCGAGGACTACAACTGAACTGGATTGAGGAATTTCTTCGGCAACGTACCGTATCGGTTCAAGTTAATGGTTGTCCGTGGGGACCGATTAAGGCTGTCCGTGGAGTTCCATAAGGATCCGTACTCGGTCCGTACCTTTTCCTAGCATTCATNNNNAAACATGGAGGACGGTAAAATATCCTGAAGATTATGAAACCCTGCAGGGAACTCTCTACGCAGCTTATCGATAGTCCATCATTAATGAAATTGAACTGAACGTTGAAAAATACAAGGCTGTATCACTGCGTCAAAGGGGCCGCTTTCCATATTTACTTGGATCTCAGCCATTACGGCGTTCTCCAACTGAAAAGGATCTAGGAGTTATTGTTCGTGAGGATCTGGGATGTTTCACACAGTAAAGCACTTTCGATTGCTTAAACGTGTTTTGGATCATTCGTAGCAGACCTGTTGCCCCGTTTACTATCAGCATACATGAGACCA